GTCGGTCATCCTTCTTTGTAAAGCTCATTGAGAGTATTGCTATTTTTGAAATGGCTTGAGCAAAAATAAGGAAGATGGTGCAAGTAATCTTCATCATACAACCATTGGTTTAATGACAATAGCATTGACAAAAAGTGTCTTAGGGTCATGTGATTGTCATTTGCAACCTTCCCAGCTGGCTTCTGACAAGCAAAGTCAATGGGGGAAGTCAGATTTGCTTAACAACTGCCTTGCTGAGCCACAGAAATGTTGGCTGCAGTTGGGGTTGTAAATCAAGAACTACCTGTATATTGTGTTTTTAGATACAAAATTAGATACATATCTTGGCACCTCTCTTTAAATCCACGTTCCATTCAAAGATAATACGGAAGCTCCCTTATGGCCAGTGAAAACTCAGACTTTTTTTATAGCATTTCCTTTGCAGTTGCCAAAATGAATTCTGTAGCGTAATTTTTCTCTAAACTCATGCTACTTCAGGTCAGGTTACATTCCCCAGTATAAAGCTGTTTCTTCTTTCTATTGAAACGCTGTTCCTCCTATAACATTTTAATTTGTTCGTATTTATTTATTTATAGGGCTCATAGGCTTCTCCAATTAGCTGATCCAGAGCAATATGCAATTTCCCAATGCATAATTTGGATTAAAAACAACGATACAAATGAAATTAAAAGCAGCACTGTATAATGTAATCAATTATAAAACAGACTCCTGATCAGACCTCAAAAACCAACTCATATTCCAGAGGGATAGTCATTACAACCCCCCGTGGTTGTTATGACAACCTCTACCAATTTTTCTACCAGTTTTCTGAAGACCAGGAGGAAAGAGACCAATCACCTGTCGAAGAAATGTTATTCCTAACAGTTGGAAACAATGTGCTTCCTTGGCACCTGAAAATGGTAATCTTGAATTTAGGGGGCACTTAGAGGATCTGCCCTAGTAGTCTTTTTGAGAGGGAGGTAGATATTACTGGGAACAGGCAGTCCTATGGATGCCCAAGCTCTGAAGCAGGGTGGACTTTCAAGGTGACAACCAGCACCTTGAAATGTACCCAGAAGCCAATTGGCAACCAGGCCATCTCTCCAAGTATAGGTGTTACATGGGGGTCCGGAAGTGTACCCATAACTGCTTGAATTGTTGCATTCTGGGCCAATTGTTAGGGCAGCTGTAAGGGTAGCCCCACGTAGAGCATATTACAGAAGTCCAATTAAAGGATGGCAAAAGTGAATGTCAGGAGATGTTTCCAGGAGAAGTTGCTATTTATTGGTTAAATTTATTGGCCACCCATCTTACAATAAGGTAACTTTGGGCGTCTTATAGTTACATCTAAGCTAAAAGATAAAAAGTTAAAATCAAACATTAAAACCAAAGACACATGGGGAGGGCAGAGGTGGAGTGGGGGAGAGGTGGGATCTGTTATTACTTAGTCAGCCACCTCCATTGCGCAGTTCCCCTACTGGGACCCCAAACCGACTGGCAAAGCCACATCTTTAGGCCCTTATGAAAAGATAGGAGGGTTGGGGTCAACCTCACACCCAGGGTGCAAGATGTTCCAGAGGGCAGGAGCAACAGCAGAGAAGACCCTCCTGCTGGACCCCACCGGCCGGAATAAATGGGCTGATGGGACCCGCAGCATGCCTCCTCTGCCGGTATGAGTGGTATGGGCCAGTCCTGTACAATTGCCACAATAAAATGGAGCCTCTTGGTCACAATGGCACCTGAACCTTAAGCAGCAGCTATGAGTCCAGGAGGACCCCCATAGTGCAAATCACCTGCCTCAGGGAGTACAATCCCATTCAGAGTTAACAGCAGAATCTCCTTGGAGTTGGTGGTCTTTCCAAGGCAAAGTCACTTTTATCAGGCTGGTATGGAGTCTCGACTAGTTCTTCCCCAGCCAGACTGGGAGAACCTCCAGGCACCCGAACAGCACTTTAATAGCGCTTATTTGATGATTTTGAAACCAGTCCATGTTGTTCCAGTTCCTTCCCCAACTGCCTCAAGATGACCTTATATGTGTCTGGAGGTACTTTTTGATGAGATCTGTATTGGCATCCACTTGAAATTCTTGAAGTCAACAGTCGTGCTACAGTATCTTTAGTTAACCAAATACCTTTTTAATTCAGAAAAAAAATTGCCCCAAGCATTTCAGATGCATTTAATTTGGCCTGCTTTTCCATTGAAAAAGATTATGGTGATCCAAGTTGTAATTTCAGGCTATATCATGGACTTAATTAAAAGCTTACACCTAAAAATCTGAATTGTCTGCAAATTCTCAGCTGCAGGTTTTTTTTTTCAAACTATACTTGCTATTAAATATTTTCTTTAAAAGATTCTACTGTGATTCCCCAAAAATAAGACCTACCCCAAAAATAAGCCCTAGTTTTGGGGCGAGGCACACGCCTAAAAATCAAGCTAGGGTGGGGGTGGAGCTTACCATTGCAGCCAGGCCTCCCATGGATTAACACCTGCTTTGCTGGCCCACTTCTTCTGCGGCCGAAGGAGCAGCTTCATTCTGCAGCTGAAAATGGAGCTCCGGCCTGCATTTCGCATTCAGAGGCCATTCCAGAAGGCTTCTGCAGCCAAGAACCGAGCTATGGATTGAATCTGTAGCTCGGTTTTCGGCCTTCCGGAAAAGCCTGTGACTGCCAAATGCAGGCCCAAGCTCCATTCTCAGCTGCAGAATGAAGCTGCTCTTTCAGCCATAGAAAAGAAGTAGACCGGCAGGGCAAGGCGAGTGGAAAAGACACCCCCCCACTTCTCAGAAATAAGACCTGGTGCCTCTTTTGGAGGCAAATAAAAAAATAAGACCAGGTGTTATTTTCGGGCAAACACGGTATCAGAAAGTGTTATTTTATAAGCCTTATTTTCAACAATTGAAGTCTGCTTCCTGTAGACTGATCTAGCTCAAATACAGGCAAATGAATCAGCATCAAATGGGAAAAGTTAAGTTTAAAGGAAATGCTTATGAGAACTGGTCATGTTTGTTATTGGTTCCCTGTGTACAGCAGAGATTGCTAATAGGAATTCTGTCAGACCTGCCACAGCTTAAACCTCTAGATAGAAATGATCCTTGGTTCCATTTGTTGAGAAATTTATAGTTTTATTAGAGTTGTGTATTGCAGTATTGCATAGCCAGAACTGAGAATCAGGCACCAAAATTCCTAAGTTCTACTTTTCCCTCCCGTAACTATCTCTCATTGCCTATCCCAGTGTAACCCAATCAGATTCATGGAAGATGTTTTCATAATGGTCAGTCCAGCGCACTTGAGGCAGCATATGGAGGAGATACAGCACTATCGTTTCCCCAAGTATTCCCCCCTTCATTCTCCCTCACCACATAGTAGCGAAACACAAGCCATCATAAAGTGGCAACTGACAAATTCATTTGAAAAGGAGATAAATGTTTGTGTGGGGCTTAAAACATTTTCTCACCACATTTAGAGTAAATGTCTATCTTGTTTATGAGGGGGATGTCCAAACTCCCCTTCTTACACCTTTGTTTTCCCTTGAATTTCCCTTAAAGGGCCCACATAGACAGTAAAGTTTGATTGTTTTAATGACTTAAAAGTTGGACTTCAGATGATACTTCTCATGGTAACTGGTGTGGATTCAATACGAAGCACAAGGGATGTGGTCCTGCTAGCAGTCACAAATAGATAGGGACATGATGAAACTGATTGGCTTTTGAACAAAAGAATACACTGAAGTTTTGTTTAAATCTTCTTTCTAGGCTGCCCCAAAATTGTTCATCTTTGCCTAGCTTGATATAAAAGCAACACATTTCAGTAGAATTTCTCATTTGAGTTTTGTGATAGGGAAATACCTGTTTTTCTATAATAGAACTTGATAACCAGCTGACTAGAAGTGCTATAGTGTTACAGAAGTGGAATAATTTAGTACAGGTAGTCCTTGACTTACAACCACAATTGAGTCCAAAATTGCTGTTGCTTAACATTTGTTAAGTGAGTTTTGCCCTAGTTTATGACTTTTCTTGCCACATTTGTAAGTGAATCACTGCAGTTGTTAAATTAGTAACACTGTTGTTAAGTCAATCTGGCTTCCCCGTTGACTTTGCTTGTCAGAAGGTTGCAAAAGGTAATCACATGATTCAACTATCATAAATATGAACCAGTTGTCAAGGATACGAATGTAAGTCACGTGACCATGGGGGTGCTGCAATGATCATAAGCGTAAAAAATAGTCATAACTCACTTTTTTCTATGCCTTTGTAACTTCAAATGGTCACCAAAAAAACTGTTGTAAGTTGAGGACTACGTGTAAATTCTTGTTAGCAACTACTTTTCTCTGATGCAGACAGCTACTACTCTAGAAACATTTCCTCAAGTAAAACATTCCTCTGCTCTAAGACATCACAATGTTTGCTTGCTCTGTTATATACCTTCATATCTTTGTTTGAGTACCTATGTATAAAATAGGCACCTTGTATTTAATCGGTAGCCTGGTAGCCATAAATTGCAAATTTCTACCTAAGCAAGATGGGTTAATAGAAGGAAAAAATGGAAATGCTACAAAATGGACATTGGGCTATTGCAAGAAGGACAAAATTGGTTTTAAAAGAGGTAATTAAATAAATAGATTACCTTTCACTCCCATTAAGCTATTTTTTATAAAAAAAACAGGCTACTGATTCCTTGCATTTTTGGAATAAACCCTTTTATACAATAGTCTTGTGGCATTTTAAAGAATAACACATTTATTCATTAAGTCAAATTATATACTGTCTAATATAACTTACAAACTTACTCTTGTGTTATTAGACTTCATGAACTGCAGTCCAATTTCTCACATGTTGGACTTTGAAAATGGAAATCAAGCTTTTTCAAGATTGTGGAATGAACATGTTATTTCATGTTTGTAATTGTAGAAGTTTAATGTTGACCTTTGTCATGTCCTATATAATCTTAAATGGAAAGTACAGTTCAATGTGTTCTGATGTTGCACTTTCTTTTCTTTCCTTGTTTCTTTCTACAATGATCTAGGTCTGGACTATTTTGCGTTCCACCAGCTTCCTTACCAAAGACAGAGGATCCTCTTAGCAAAAGTTGCACTAATGGGAAAACTGAAGACAGACCATCCATAGAGCTGGAGGCTGACCAGTGGTGTTCAGAAGGAAAACCCACCAAGGCCAATGGAGAGGAGCAAGTCCCGCCCCTCTTGCCTCCTCCACCAACGGGCAGTGTTCCTCCTTATCCTCCCTATTTTGAAGGAGCTCCCTTCCCCCCTCCATTATGGTTACGGCACACATATAATCAGTGGGTACCTCAGCCACCTCCAAGAACTATAAAAAGGACAAAGAGGCGCTTGTCCCGGAACAGAGACCCTGGGAGGCTCATCATGAGCACAATTAGGCTGAGACCGAGGCAAGTGCTTTGTGAGAAATGCAAGAACACTCTGAATCCAGAGGAAGGTATCAAAGCCCATCAAAATGCAAAAACCCAGAGGAAACTAAGCATCCAAGATAAGGAACAGAAAAGACACAGTGAATCTGAATATGTAGAAAAAAAGAGCAAAAGAGAAAGGCGAGAGGAGGAAAAGTTTTCCGGGGAACAGCTGCAAAGGACTCCAGTTATAAAAATATCTTACAGCACCCCTCAGGGAAAAGGTGAAGTTGTGAAAATTCCCTCCCGCATCCATGGTTCCGGGAAGCCATTTTGCCCTCAGCGACTTCTCCAGAATGGTGGGGAGGACCAAGAAGAGGCCCAAGACTCAGAACAAGATCAGGAAAGCAAATGTTTTATGGACAAGCAGTCCAGTGGGCACCATGCTTCCATTCCAAAGCTAAAGTTAACTAGGCCTGTGCATTCCAGTGCAGATGTGCCCCCTCCCAAAATCCGTCTGAAGCCCCATCGGCTCAGTGAGGGGGATAATGTTTCCATTTACAAAGCCGAACTTATCGATGAGATGAATGTTCTTCCCAGCAGTGGAGAGTCTCCTGCGGCGACGGCAGCTGCTTTTTACAGTGAGTCTGCAGAACGGAGTCTAGCTGAAATGTCTTCAGGGAGTTCCTGTGAAGATGATGACTTCAAAAGGTTTCCTCAAGGCAAAGATGGACACGATAACTTGGCTTTTCTCATGAATTATCGCAAACGGAAAGCAGACTCTTCTAGCTTGTCAGTGTGCAGCAATGACAGCCTTGATGAATCTAAATCTTCCAGCTCAGAAGTACCATCGCCAGAAATATGTGACTTTTTACCTGGGGATGACGCCTCTGTCTCTTCATCTTCTAAAGATGACCGTAAAATTGTGCCCCCACTGACTGTTAGACTACACACCCAAAGTGTCTCCAAATGTGTGACTGACGATGGTAGGACTGTTTCAGTCGGAGACGTTGTCTGGGGCAAAATCCATGGCTTCCCTTGGTGGCCCGCCCGTGTTCTTGACATAAATCTTAGCCAAAAGGAAAATGGAGACCCTTCCTGGCAGGAAGCAAAGGTTTCATGGTTTGGTTCTCCAACAACGTCTTTCTTGTCACTATCAAAACTATCCCCTTTTTCTGAATATTTCAAACTACGATTTAACCGTAAGAAGAAAGGGATGTATCGGAAAGCTATTACGGAAGCTGCGAAGGCAGTGGAACACTTGACTCCAGAAATAAGAGACCTCTTAACACAATTTGAAACATAATTTTGTCTTCAAAAACAAGTAAGTTATGGAGGTGCATAACCCCCTTTGTAGTATAGCAATTGGTTTAAAGTTACATGTGTTGGTTTGCTTTTGAAGGTTCAAGAGGATACTCCTATTTCGGGGGGGGGGGAGAGAACACACTAGAGATATGCTATTTAATACTTTCTCAAACACACCAGTGTAACTACTGAAAATCATAAGGATTATTCCTAATTGCTAACAAACCATCCAGAAGCTTCTGTATTTGAAATACAGCCACATTGATGTAATCCTTCATTTAAAAAAAAATTGAACAGATATTTATTGAGTGTCTTTCTGGTTTAAATGACTTATCAAAGCTATATTTTGTCTTTTTTTCTTCATCTTGTTTTTTTTATCAAAGTGAACAAAACATCAATTTGAAAGAAATTTGAACATATGTTCTGGCATGTTCTTATGGTAATTGCTTTGTATTGATTCTATGTTATGTGACAGGCAATATATTTTAGGGAATTCCTTTATTCCTTAGGCCTTGAGTTTGGATGACCATAGAAATAAAAGTTTCCTTTTAAAGAATAAAAAAATGGGGGCCTGATTTTTTTTGAAGCAGATTCTATGTCTTCCAAATTCTGTTCAGGCTTTTTCCTGTGCTACATAATTTTGGCATGCTTATAAACCTTTGCCATAGAAAAGTGTGCACATTAACTTGAGCCATTAAAAAGGGGGTAAAGGGTAATCTATGTCTGACAAAGAAAAGGATGAGAGAAGTCTCTTTCAATGATCTAGTTTTCATAGTTTATTCAACATTAAGAGAATTTAGTATTTTACAATTGTCTAGATTTCAATTCTGGAAATCAGCCTTTAGGTTATTCTTGAGACTGTGATGCTTGGATTCTTGAATGTAATGATGAGCTTGCTAAGACAATCACAATTTACATCTCTAGCCAATTAGAAGTCAGTAATTAAGACTCTGGGGAGAAGATTTGAAACTGGAAGAAAGAGAAATGCTTCTGGCATGGCTAGTGATGTATGGGTCTTTTTCCTGAGAAGAACCTGGGACTTTCAAGACAATCTGATACAATCTAATTAGCATGTTCACAGCCTACTTCCACATTATGTTAAAGCGGTAGCTGAATACAGATTCAAGGTGTTGGATTTCATCCATTTTTTAAATTACTGTCATTCTCCTCCCCCTTCATTTTTTGTTTTTATTTTTAACAGTTGTCATTTTTTCCTGAACTAGAATCCTGAAGAACTCAAGCTCTGCACAGTGTTTTCTAGTCTCGAGTTAACCATATTTGTTCTAATGTGAATTAGCAACACAATTAATTTAGGTCTGCATTTTAATTACTAAGACCAAAGGTTAAATTCCTGGTTTAAACATTTAATATTGATTAGGAAACAAGCTAAACCTTTGAGTATTGAACTCAAACAGAACCAAGGAAAGATTAGCAATATTAGCAATATTTTCTTCAGGAGAAGAAAATTATTTTTTGCGTGTGTTTTTTGTTCACATAGTAACTTCTTCAGCAGTCTCCTATTATGAATATAACCACTTCCAGAAGGAAAAAAAAGTTAGCTGTTTTGTTACACTGAAAGAGTTAATTCTGTAAAAAATAAATTTTGCTTCCAGGGGTACAAGTGATGGTCTAAGTTGAGACAAGGAATTTGAAGGAGCATCTCCGCTGCATGATTGTAATGATGCATGTGAAGTAACTCTTAAGAATAATTCCTTGTACACCAAGGGTCTTTTCCTGTTAGCAAAGGCTGGCTCTTTGGTCACTTGGCTTAGAGTAGAGCATGGCTGGCTCAGAATTCTGGGATTTGAAGTCCACAAATCATAAAAGGACCATAGTTCCATCACCCCTGGAGGAACCTGCAGATGGCATTATAATGCTCAGCATGTAAGCATTAAGATGATTCCTCTTCAAACTCTTAAAGAGATCTAGAACTAGAAATCCGTGGGAATCAGGTAGTTTATTCAAAACTGATCATGTGATAAACTGAGAAGAAATACTTTGGTAGGAAGCAAAAGGTAATTGCAGCTCTCTGACCCATAGATTTGTAATTTGTAACAACCAGTAGCATTTTGAAATAATTCAAAATGTAAATTATAACTACCAGATACTAATAAGAATGCAGGGCTCTTTGGGAAGAAATGACAATTAGTGCTTTAGCCCAGGGCAGTGGTGGCGAACCTATGGTACGCGTGCCAGAGGCGGCACTCAGAGCTCTCTCTGTTGGCACGCACGCCACCCCCGCCAGCAGCAGGTCCATCAGGCCACCACTGCCACCTGGAGCAGGAGCCCCACCCAGCACAAAGGAAGTGAAGCAGCCGACTAGCAAGCTTGAGTAGAAGTGGTAGAGCAGAGGTCACCAACCATTGTCGATTGGTGGACTGGAAGAAAAAGGAGGGGGAAGCATTTTACATGCGTGCATGCGCGCACGGGGCCGCTGCAAATGGGGCAGAGCTAGTGCCTGCATGATACTCACTAGCCCTGCCCTGTTCTTGCATGGTGCAGCGCCTTGTATCTGCACCCCGCGGTGTGGCGGTGACCGTTTTTGCACTTTGCAGCACAGTGGCCCATTTTTGCACCCCCGGTTTTTGCGTGCCAGAGGCGGCACTCAGAGGCACCTCCCTGCCCCCCCCCCAGTGCACCACAATGCTGATGCGGCCCTGGCACTTTGTGATACATAAGTGGGTTTTGGGTTGTAGTTTGGGCACTCGGTCTCTAAAAGGTTCGCCACCACTGGCCCAGGGGTCTCCAACTCTTGGGCCGTGGGCCAGTACCGGGCCACGGCCTGTTTGAAACTGGGCCATGGGAGAGATGGGCAAGCGCGCACATGTGAAGCTCCACTTGCGTGAGCAGTGGACAAGTGCACAAAGCTCCACTTGCACGAGCAGAGGGCACTTGTGCTCATGCACGAAGATTCACTTGCATCAGTGAAAGGCGCTTGCGCTCCGTGGAAGCTCCACTCAAGTGAATGGAGCTTCGCACATGAACATCCTCTGTTTGCACAAGTGGAGGTTTGCATACGAGCACAAGCGCCCTCTGCTTGCGCAAATGGAGCTTCACGCATGAGCCCAAACACCTTCCACTAGCACATGAAGCTCCATTCATGTGAGTGGAGGTTGTGTGCACCTGCCACTCACACAAATGGAGCTGTTTGTGTGCATGTCTACCTGCCACTCACACGCCCGGCCCCTGCGCCGGGCTAGGCTGCCAAGCTGGAAAAGTTGGGAAGCGCTGCTTTAGCCAATGGTGGAATGAACTAAGTTTACACAGGCTTTGAGAAAAACAGGCAGTAATCTGAACAGAATTGTTTTAAGAAATGCAAGTTCTTCATTTCATTTTAACCTTGTAAGGTTTTTTCCCCTTAACGCTATGAAGCAAGATCAGTATGACTGCAAGGAAGAAAACAATTTCTGAGAATCATGTCCTACTTTGCAATATTAAGTATCTCTTAAGGCTGCAGTCGTATTTTTGCCTAAGTTAAAGAGCTGAAATGAGCTGGTCGTTACTGTAGTTTTCTTAACAACAATACAGAAATGCCTTTCTTTGGGATATATATTTATTTATTTTCCAGTTTAGCTTATAGCCCTGAAATTTCCTGGTGTTCCCCACCCAAGTGTTAACCAGGTACAGTTCGGTTAGTCTTTTTGAGATCAGCTAAATTGGCTAAGCAATTTGTATCATCAGATAATTTATGAAGTCAAAGGATATTCTACTTCGATGTGGAGTTCAGAATTTTATAGTTGGTTTTCTTCGCATTTGCAAAGCACCATTAAATATATTTAGTTTTGCTGTTAAAGTATAAAATGAGGACAGGTGAAATTGCAATTGTTAAGAACTAGCATTAGGCAGCTATTGTTAAAGGACCAGAGGCATCTGGGTTATTTATGTGGAAGGGTATAAATAGTAATGCTGAAGTTCATGTAAGGTTGAGAAGTGAGAGGCAAGGGATATTGAAAGATACCCTGTAATTTATCCCTTGACTTCATAAATTATCTGAGGATAATGTAATTTATGGAATTTTAAAATATCTGTACAGGGGTCCCAACACGCTACCTGCATGGAAGCACAGCTATTGATTGATACCCTGAAGAGCCAGCATGGTATAGTGGTTAAGGTGTTGACTAGGATTAGAGAGACTCTTGAAGTCCAGAGTCTTAAAAGTTCCCTAGATGACTTTAGACTAATCATTCTCAGCCTAACCTACTGAAAGAATTGTTGTGGGTAATAATTGAAAGAATATATATTACTTTTTGGCTACGGGAGGAAAAGTAGGGCCTAAACAAAATAAATATATGTATGCAAACATTTTGAGTTTTACTTTTTATTTTTAACACTCAAGAAGTATCCTAATTTGAAGGCCTTTGCCCTTGAAGGAATCAAAATCAGAACTCTTCCAGAAAAGTCAAAATGATTTTGCACATTTCTAAAGATAATTCTGTTAGGGGAGGATCCTAGCCACTTTAGAATCACTGGGTTAAAGTTTAATACTTCCTTGGCTCCAAATTAGCAGAAGAATGGGGAGACTGAGACTGTGCAAAATACTGGTTAAGTGTATTTTGCAAAATAAGTTAATCTGAGCAATGTCTTTCCTTCCTTCAAATATTAAAGCAGCCACATCCCTTGAAGCTTCACATGGCTGCTTTGATTAGCTGGTGGTCACGACAGAAGTGCTTGTACCTGCTTGCACAGATTGGAGGAAATGGCATATGCATTAAACTTTGGATCTAGCAGTCTAAAAAGTGTTCACCTGCAGTATAAGACCCAGCAATATTCCTGGGGCTTATAGTAAATTTGTAAACAAAGAACATTGTACCAAAGACACATGGATGTGAGGGCATCTGACTGCAACCTCTGTCACCCCATTGATTGCCAGGGTTGATTCAGCTTCCTTCCTCACAGCTCCATGTGCATCTCTTCCAATGCTGCATACTTGGTGGAAGAAGGCGACCATCCCAGACAGGAGTGTACCAATCTTCAGTCAAGGATATACAATAGCTGCACTCCCCTGCTAGAATCTCCAAA